GTCAAAAGGTCAAAGGTCAAGGTCATAAATAAGCAAATTCTGTCTGTTAAAACACTTTCGTTTCCACACGATATCTCTAGAACCATTTGAGCTATTGCAATGAAATTTTACATAACAACTCCCTGTCGCCTAATGAAGACCCCTATTGATTTTGAGGTCAAAAGGTCAAAGTTCAAGGTCATAAATTTATACATTCTGTCTGTGTGTAACACTATCATTTCCGGGTGATATTTCAAGAAGATTTTGAGCTTATGCAATGTAATTTTATACCAAAACTCCCTAGTACATCTCTCGCCCCTCTCAAAGTGCCCCGCCCCGTTTTATTAGTATTTATAGTATTACATGTTGCTATTTTTAGCGCAGGGGCATGAGGAGAGTTATTGCGTATAAAACAGGTTCTTGGCGGACTTTATGTTCTTATTACATCTATTAGAACTGTTTAATAAAGGCTAAATAAATCAAACACCATGGATTGTGTAAAATTTTGAGAATATCGAACATGAAAACATGAATATATACATGTATGTGACTTCACTTCTGCATATACTTCACATCGCGTAAAGCGATTCCGTGGTCTAGTGGTTATGTCTCTCGCTTCAAATGTGAGAGGTCCCGGGATCGAATCTCGGCCGATCCTTTCTTTTTTTGTTTTTTTTTTTTAAATACTTTTTTTTAACTAAATGATAGTATTCAGCATGTGAAATGAAAAATTTATGAGGTTATAAAATCATCATTACAGTGTGATAAATATTCCATATAAAAAAATCTTCTATACACATAATAAAGAATAAGCAATCAAATCTTTATATGCATATTGACATACATGTATTTTATTTGCTTCAGTATACATGTATACATTTAATAATTCTACAAATTCAGTCAGGGGGAGCCGACTTTTTCCCTAAGCGGGGGACACGAATTCTCTGAATTAGCTTGTAATAATTTGAATTTGATTCCCCATTGTTTCCCTCCCAACACCAAAGAGCTATGATTTGAATAATTTAAATCTTCTATACATGAGAATGCTTACATGTCAATATGACTAAACATAGCTTTTCTGTTCTTAGGATTTTTCCCTTTATTTTTCTGTGTAAAACTTGGATCCACCAATGGGGCCCCACCCTATCCCTGGGGGCTATGATTTGAACAAGCTAAAATCTAAACTACTGTACATGAGGATGATTCCACATAAATATCACTTATCAAGGCTTTGAAGTAATTGAAAAGACGATTTAAAGAAAATTTCACTATCTAGTCCTATGTAAAACTTTAATCAGCCATTTTGCCCCCCCCCCTCCCCCCGGGTCATAATTTGAACAAACATGAATCCTCACTACCTGAGGATGATTTCACATGAGTGTCATCTTTCCTAGCCCAGTGGTTCTTGAGAAGATTTTTAAGGATTTTCCCTCTGTACATCTATGTAAAACTTTGATCTGCCATTGTGGCCCCACCCTACCCCCAGGGGTCATGATTTGAACAAACTTGAATCTTCACTACATGAGGATGATTCCACTTGAGTTTCATCTTTCCGGCCCAGTGGTTCTTGATTTTAAAAAATTTCCCTATCTAGTCCTATGAAAAATTTTGATCAGCCATTGTGGCCTCACCCTACTCCCGGGGGTCATGATTTGAATAAACTTGAATCTACACTACCTGAGGATGATTCCACATGAGTTTCACATGAGTTAATTTTTCACTAATTCTTTCTCCCCTTGGAAGAGGGCCCCTTCAGTGGTTTCTTCACCTAAGGAACTTTGTGGCAAGTTTGGTAAAGAGTTTTCCTATATATTCCTATGCAAAACTTTTATTGGCCATTGTGGCCCCACCCTACCCCTGGGGGTCAGGATTTGAAAAAAACTTGAATCTTCACTGCCTGAGGATGCTTCCACATGAGTTTCATCTATCTTGGCCCAGTGGTTCTTGAGAAGAAGATTTTTTAAAAATGCCATTAATTTTTCACTAATTCATAATTATCTCCCCTTGGAAGAGGGCGTGGCCCTTCATTTGTACAAACTTGAATCTTCTTCACCTAAGGATACTTTGTGGCAAGTTTGGTTGAAATTGGCCCAGTGGTTCTTGAGAAGAAGATGAAAATGTGAAAAGTTTACAACGACGACAACAACGACGACAACGACAGACGACGGACAAATTTTGATCAGAAAAGCTCACTTGAGCCTTTGCTCAGGTGAGCTAAAAATACTTTTCGTTTATTGTTTTCATTTAGGCACAATTTGTATGCTGTGCAGATGGGATTTTCCTACTTTCGTTTTTGACGGCATATTTTTCTACATACGAACTCAGGTACTCAGTAATAATTAAAAAAACAACAACACATGTTACTTATGATATATATGAAATTTTAGACATAATTTTGCTGGAAAGACATTGTATACCTTGCTTACATTTTTTCTTTAGTAGTAATAGGCATCCAAGAAAATCAGATCATCAGTATTGGACATATTCACAGTATAAAGAATTAAATTGAGAATAAAATTTATGTTTGTTGTTAGGAAAGGGTGTGTAAATCTTAATAAAATTGTTCTTAAAAAGAATATTCCACTATTTATAAATATCTTTGTCAACATAAAAGGCTTGAGCTACTGAACTGTGATGGGGGTATCTGTATGTTTTACCCCATATCTCAGTGAAAAGACAGATTACCAATACATTTATCATGCTTAAATTAAAACTGTAGAAGGAGTAGCTTTTTTTCTAATAGAAGCTTTATTTGAGTTTTGAGCTCTCTTACTTTAGAAAATTCTATATTTTTTTAGTTTTAACCACTGCAAATTATTCATTATTATCCTTATCCTCATGATTAATGTTCAAAAGAATTAATTTGCCATAAACTGATGCACTATTTTATGCATCTTAGTGTAATCTACTTGTGTGCCAAGTGATAAAGTATATATTAATGTAAATCAGACTAAAACTGTAGAAGACGAGTAGCGTTTTAAAGGAATTTCACAGAAAATTCTATTTTTAGTAACCATGGCAACATCAATAAGTTTTTTTTATCAAAATCAAAAACCGATGACATAAAATTTTATGTTTATTTCATTTCATTGTATACTACTTGTGTGCCATGTTTTATTGAAAATGATATTTTACTAAAACTGTACAAATGGCTATATAACATTTTAATTAGGAATTTCACAGAAAATTCTATTTTTAAATAACAACAATAAAACAAAAAACGTTCATTGAAATCAAAAACCGATGCACTCTTTTATGTATCTTAGTGTACGTTTTCCACAGAAATACTTGTGTGCCAAGTAATATTGAATATACACAATGTAAGTAAAACTGTAGAAATTAGTAGCGTTTTAAAGGAATTTCTTTGACTTTCAGAAAATTCTATTTTTAGTAACCATGGCATCACCGTTCATTGAAATAGAAAAACCGATGCACTATTTTATGTATCTTAGTGTACATCTTGCAAATGTGTGTGCCAAGTTATGTTTGAAATTATAATGGCATGAAAGACCAAAACTGTATATCACAGGAGTAGCGTTTTTTTTAAAGGAATTTCTATTCAGTTCAAAACTCTATTTTTAGTAACCATATATATGGCAACACCGTTCATTTTTTCCTGAAATCAAAAACCGATGCACTATTTTATGTATCTTACATTTGTGTAGTCTACTTGTGTGCCAAGCTATATTGAAATCATAAATCTAAAATTGTAGGAGGAGTAAGTTAATATCTTTTTGAAAAAAGCAATAATCCAATTTGTTTTTTAAAATGTGTATTTGTAGATTCATAGCAAAGTGATCAGACGGACGGACGCGCGGAACGCATTTATTATCGCATAAGCTGGTCGTACAAAAATTATGCAAAAAATTATGAAGATTATTTTTACTATCACTACCTAACGGACAGGGTTTTTTTCACAAAACAATTTTGACTTTGATAAAATACACAGTTTTCAAGGCTTAGATAATTCATAGTTTTTCAGTTTAAGGTCTTTAAAAATTGTTTAGATGATATGTATATCAAAAAGATGACAATGTTTTTGTGTTAAATGGTTAAAGGAATAAGTTAATGAAATTTGACATTTATATCTAACCTGGCTTTTTTGAAAATCAAGGTTTAAGTAGTTCATTGATTAAAAATTTTCTCTCCTTATAGACAACTAAAGGGGGGTAACTTTTGGAAGTTCCTGTCCAAAAACCACTCGAACGATTTTGTCCAAAATGTGCAAACATGCAGTAGATATAGTCATGTACTAAATATACAAAAATAACGAAAATTAAACGATAGGAATTTTTGGGGGTAGGTGTGTTGTACATCCTTAAGTACAGTAGCGTACACTTTTGTTTTTACTTCATGTGTGTACCGTGTTTCCTTTGTTGGTTATCAAAAGAACGATATTGGAATCTACTAAGCTAACGTTACCCTGGTCATGACACTTAAAAATTTTTTTTTTTAGAAATATCAAGCGATTTCTGAAGTTTTTTTTTAAAACTAAAGTTAAAGTATTGATGCCCGTTTTTAACTGTTAATTATTACACAATGCTCTCCACAATTGATATTTTTTACTCTCCTGGCATAACAAGCCCAGCTAGGTGATTGTTTCATTTAAAAATTGTGCATGATTGTATAGTTCTTTTGTCCCAGCTCGATGGCCGGAGTTATAGAAAAGTTTGGGTTATGTACAGAAAACCCACATTTTTAACAAAAGAAATCACACCGAACCATGGTACAATCTCATATAGGTCCCAGTAAATTTGTTTTAAGTTTTACTGTTTATAGCTGATGATCTCCCCTTCTTTAAGGGTCACGACCCTAGTTTTAGTAAAAACTGAAGCCCTTGGTCCAAGGATACCCTGTGGCATTTAATTTGAGAATGATGGTCAAGGGGTTCTTGAGTTATGGCCCATACTCTAAAAAGTTTACACACACCACACAAATGGCCATAGCATTAGCTCTTTGAGCTAATGATCTGACAAACTTTGTTTTGAAAAATATAGATAAAAGTTAAAATTTCCTCTTACGACACTCTTTGAAGGAAGCCATTATATAAGTCTTCAGCAGTGCATGTTCTGCTTGGCAGAGCCAAGAACATCGGCTGACCAAACAACTGCCAAGATGGTGTTTGATAATTTGATGAACAATTATTTTTGCATCTGAAAAGAAACCATGATTAATATAAAGATTCAAAAACATCCAACAAAGCAAGAGGCCCATGGGCCTTATAGGTTACCTGAGTATCATGTAACAACTTTCCAACAATTGAATTTGGTTCCTGTTTTACACCAGAGGCCATGAAATTCACAATTTTGAAAGATGCACAATTGCATAACTATACACTTAGCATGCTTACTCTAGTTACTTTTAAAATACCCAGAGGGAGATCAGAGTAACAAAGAGGAAATCCATTCTTTTTATAACCAGTTGTGCCCCACTGATCCTGGGGCCACATATTTAAAAATTTTTGGAAATTTTATCATAAATTTTATTTAATCTTAACGAGGCCCAATCTAGTTGAGTAATTTTAAATCTGTATGGTGGAATATGCAGATTTTAATTATGGATACATTTAATCACATAGGCATTATATTAATGTGAAAATAACATAATGTTCCCTTTATTGTAGTGAAATGGGGACCGTCTCAAAATATGATGCATTTTATTAGAATTTTGTATGAAATACCTATAATTATATAGACTAGGAAAAATTGCCATTTTAAAAAGTTTTTTTGATATAAAGACCAGATTTTAAAGCATTACTTCATTTTCAGACTTTGTAACCCTGAATGTAATGTCGAAGTTTTTACTGCAAGCATAAAGAAAAGAAGAAATTAAGGGTCAAAGTCTTGAAAAACGGATGTAATTTGAAGACTTCAGTCTGTAATAATTAAGCCATTATCAGAATTTATGCGTCCCAAACAGGAGCCAGGTAATTGGCGATATTTTTATAATTTGTCTATTAATTAAGATTATTGTTTGATCTTAACTGATAATCAATTAAAAAGTTCCAAAAAATACCAATGGTTGTCAGTACTTATTCTGTAGCCTCCAGGTACTTAGCTAAATGGCAGTGATAGCACTGAAATATTCTCATAAGATGATGTTCAAAATTTAGGTGAGGCGTTTTTTACTTCTGTGAAATTTTACACAATTAAATTTTAAGGATTTATAAAACTCGTAAAAATTAGCAGCACAAAAATACCCGTTTTACAGTAATTGTTTTGTGAAATGTATTTTATAGACATATAGGTAAAGAAAGAAGGGGGGAAAAGTTTTTGTGTTGACCTATTGGAGTTTTGGTGCAACGGAACATTTATGACCTTTACTGGAAAGGGGGAGACTCTATATAATATGGTGAAGATGGTGATTGAGGCATTGTATGAGCTTATTTAAGAATAGAATTTCTTGGCAATGTAGCAAAGAAAATACATGGGAGTTAAAAGGAATATAGAAAATAACTCAAATTGTATGTTGTATACAGAAATCCAGAGAGTTCCGAATGTAAACATGTGAAGTAGCTTGGTCTTTTTGGTCATCTTTGTCAAAAACTGTTAGGTTAAAAGCCATACACATCAGAATTTTTTTTTATAAATAATAGATTTATTCGTTATTTTTAGTGTAAATTCTTGTTTCTGGAATTTATAAGATTGGCTGAATCGACCAATCAGAAATTAGAGTCTATCTTTGGTTGTACTTACCGGTATATTGATGCAAAAAAAGCCTCCCTTGTCTTTGTTCAGAACAATCAGATAATGAAATTCCACGTTTTCGAATTTGTAAACCTTTTGCAGAATTCATACTTGAGAATACCCAACAGTCATTAACAATTAATACAAACAAAAATTTAAAACAAGAGGCCTAGGGGCCACATCGCTCACCTGAGCAAATCTGCTAGGAATATGCACAAATCAGATCAGAACTGAGAAGTTCACTGAAAGGGGGGGGGGGGTGAATTTTAATACTACTTGAGATTGTCTTCATATTAATACAGAATGTGACTTTGCTGTTCTTAATAAAAAGATTTTTCAAAAACATTTTCTTCCTATATATAACTTCATAATAATTTGAATTTGATTCCCATTGTTTCCCTCCCTACCCCAAAGGGCCATGATTTGAATAAATTTCAATCTTCAATACATGAGGATGCTTAAATGTCAATAAACTATAAAGACTAAACATAGCTTCTCTGTTCTTGGGATTTTTTTCCTTTATTTTTCTATGTAAAACTTTGATCCACCATTGTGGCCCCACCCTACCCTTGGGGGTTATGATTTGAACAAATTTAATTCTACACTACCCGAAAATGCTTCCATATAAATACTAGTATTACTAATCATAGCTTTGCTATTCTTTCGAAGATTTTTTTTATATATATTTTAATGTAAAACTTGGATCCCCCACTGTGGCCCGCCCTATCCCTGGGGGTTATGATTTGAACAAACTAGAATCTACACTACCTGAGGATGATTCCACATAAATATCACTAATCATAGCTTTGAAGTACTTGAGAAGACGATTTTGAAAGATTTCCCTATCTAGTCCTATGTAGAACTTTGATCAGCCATTTTGCCCCCCCCCCCCAACCCCCAGGGGTCATGACTTGAACAAAACTTGAATCTACACAACCTGAGGATGATTTCACATAAGTTTCATCTTTCCTGGCTCAGTGGTTCTTAAGCATGTTAAGAAGAAGATTTCTAAAGATTTTCCCTATATACTCCTATGTAAAACTTTGATCGGCCATTGTGGCCCCACCCTACCCCTGGGGGTCATGAATTGAATAAACTTGAATCTACACTACCTGAGGATGCTTCCACATGAGTTTCATCTTTCCTGGCCCAGTGGTTCTTGAGAAGAAGATTTTTAAAGATTTTCCCTATATACTCCTATGTAAAACTTTGATCGGCCATTGTGGCCCCATCCTACCCCCGGAGGTCATGAATTGAACAAACTTGAATCCACACTACCTGAGGATGCTTCCACATGAGTTTCATCTTTCCTGGACCAGTGGTTCCTGAGAAAAAGATTTTTAAAGATTTTCCCTATATACTCCTATGTAAAACTTTGATCGGCCATTGTGGCCCCACCCTACCCCCAGGGGTCATGATTTGAACAAATTTGAATCTATGCTACCTGAGGATGCTTCCACATGAGTTTCATCTTTCCTGGCCCAGTGGTTCTTGAGCAGAAGATTTTTGAAAAATGCCATTAATTTTTCACTAATTTATAATTATCTCCCCTTGGGAAAGGGCTTGGCCCTTCATTTGAACAAACTTGAATCCCCTTCACCCAAAAATACTTTGTGCCAAGTTTGGTTGAAATTGGCCCAGTGGTTCTTGAAAAGAAGATGAAAATGTGAAAAGTTAACAACAAAAACGACGACAGACAACGGACAAATTTTGATCAGAAAAGCTCACTTGAGCCTTCGGCTCAGGTGAGCTAAAAATGGGGAAACAAGATTTGTTTGTGAAACACAGATGCCCCGGTTTGGCAACATAGCGAAGATTAAGCTTTCTCAAATGCAATTCAAATATGTTGGTACCTAAAGTAAGGCCTTTTCACAAGAAATACAAATGTGAAATATAAAACCCTAGCACCACCTGTTCAAAGGGTATGACCAAAGATAACATTTTTAAAGGTAGTACAAACTCTGGGGTCAAGGTTGTTGGTTTCTACTAAAAAGGCCTTGTCTCAAAGATTACATGTGGGAAGTATGAAAGCCCCTATCATTCAGAAGCCAAGGTTAAAGTTTGTATAAAGTAAGTCAAACTCTAAGGTCAAAGTCAAAGGGACAAAGTTGTTGATATCCAATGAAAGGTCTTGTCACAAGGATTACATATGTGAAGGATGGTAGCTCTATCCCTTACTGTTCAAAAGTTAAGACCAAAGTTAAAGTTAAAAGTAGGTCAAACTCCAAGGTCAAGTTCAAAGGGTCAAAGTTGTTGATATCCAATGAAAAGTCTTCTCACAAGGATTACATATGTGAAGTATGAAAGCTCCAGCCCTTACCGATCAAAAGTTATATCCAAGGTTAAAGGCCGAGAGTGACCTAGAAAAATTTACACCTCTACAGCAATTAAGCATATATGGCTTGAGGGGCAGGGCTTAGCACTATTATCAGAGCAGCAGCAGAATTGATGTCTATTTCAACACGTGCTCTGTAGCAGACAATATTTGTAGAGTAGAGGCACATGCACTATTTTATTTATTTATTTTTTTTTTTTTTTTAACTGTTTAGTACAACTTAACAACTTTTGTTAACTGTTTAGTACAACTTATACCACAAAACAAGACGAACAAATAATTCAGCTCGCATCTTAGAGAATATAAATTCTCCTTAATATTGTCTTATTCATTGACATATTCAAAACATACAGCTTTATATTCACAAAGCTTAATTAGTGGAACAGAAACAATACATGTCCACTACTATTATCATTGCATGAAACACCATGCTAGAGATCCTATACAGCTAAAATATATTAACTTAATTTGGGTTTGACCTCTGACGAGTGGCAGACCCTGGAAAATTCCTAAAATGTGCCCGAAACACCGATTCAGGTGTCAGGTCCTCTTCCGTCGGCACACGTGGTGCCGGGTGGCAACTCTATCTTACTCATGCTTCCCATAAAATTTACACAGGAAATCTCTGTCATCAAAGACCTCTCCATTGTGAGTCACATCTGTGTAATTTTTGTTACAACAAAAAATTTCCAAAAAGGTTGACTTTTTGACAGAGATATACAGCCAATATAATAACAAAAGTTCATTATGGATCGCCCTTTGATTGAACTTTTTTATGTCATTATCTTATCATATTGGCTCCTTCACACTAATTTTCAACATGTTTAAAACTGCATGTGTACTTGCTCCACCAATCAGAATTGTTTGAAACATTCCAGGCGTGTCCAACTCTGCACATGCGCTACAAACAAATTGGCATTGATGATAATTCTTACTCATACTTGCTCTATTCATCTTGCAAGCAAAATGGGTAGATGCTTTAAGAGAGAACAGAAATCTAAAAAGGCTCTTTTACGAGTACGATCTATCTCTGCTTGTAACTTGCAGCTGAATAATATAAGGAAAACTGGAATCCAAGTTTTAAATTTGTTAAAACATTGTTTGACACGTGCTGAACAATCTCTTCTTAGCA